TTCCATCAAAAGACCCTTGGCTCATTTCTCGAACCCTGTCCCTACTTCTCCCTGGTGACAACCAAACTTTTCCCTGTGTCAAGGAGTTCATGGTGCTGTTTCTTGACTATTTGCTGTTGCTTTCTTATGGCCACGTTGGAGCATCATTCACATTTGTTCAGGAGAGTCCACAGCATGAGTAACTATAATTAACTGGGCTAGAAGAAAAGTTGGTTCATACTTAAAAATATATAGCTGCCTTTGGAAGTGTAGAAACAAAATAACTTGCCGATGGGGACAAATTAGAGATTATATTTTGAAAACTCTAACCTTCTTCATTGCTCTTAGTAACTCTTTAGTGTTGTTCTGCAGCTTGGCCTCAAGCTCACGCCTTTCTAAGACCTGTTATACCCCAACTGTAGGTGTTAGACTTTCTTCCCTCTGCCCACTGGGAATTGACAAAAAAAGCTGGCTAAGATCTTACCCCCACAATTTCCTTGCATTTAGTAAAGAAGAAAGAGCATACAGAGAAAAGTAACAGGTTTGCCGAGAATCAACATTACTAATCAAATCCCTTGTGTTCACACTAAATACGGAATATTATTCTAAGAGAATTAAGTATTTTGGCCACTTAAACACATGAAAGTGAGGCCAGAGGGATATTATAGCAGGTCCAGGGCCTGTCCTGTAAGAGGCCAACCTGGGTTTCACCCTGGCACTTTACAGGGTCCCCTGAGCCCTAGGGGTGACTCCTGAGTACAGAGCCAGGAGGAAGCTCTGAGCACAGCCAGCTGTGGTCCCCAAACAAAAACAAACAAATAAACAAGCTCACATGAAATTTATTCTTTCTCCAAACTTAATATTCAGTTCTGGTCAATGTCTTCATTTCTCTGGCAAAACCTTACTACACAAGGCCTAAGTAAAAAAAAAATCATATTTTAAAGGGGCACATAAAGTGTCTATATGAACCATGTACTTCAGAGCATGTCACTCTAGAGTTGGATTGGTGTATTAAACTCAAATAAGAAAATCTTACTAAAGAGTAGCAAAATGCCCAGATTTCATTTATCAAAGAGCAAACAAACATGTATAGAGTACAGATGATTTCAAATAGGCTAGGTTTTTGAAATTTTTGTGAGGTCCACACCATCCAGAGTATTTATTCTTTAGGGTTATTTATATCCAGAGAGACTTGAAATTTTTCTTAAGGCCAGGATGTCAATCAACTAACAAGATGAGTAAAAATGTTATTAACATCCAGGGATCTTCTTCCTCTTGAGTCATCCTTTCTCTGCAAGAAAAGACAGTTAAGAAACTTCAGAGGAGGTATTACCAGAAACTAATAATTTCTGAATGTTCGTGTGATCAAGCCCCTAGGAGCAGTGACAGGAGGAGGAAAACAGTTATTATTATTAAAAAATGACGCACAGGTCAGAGGTATAGTATGGGGCTAGGACCATTTGCCTTGCATACAGCCAATTCTGGTTTCGTTTCTGCCACCATACAGGGCCCACCACCACAGCAGTACCAGAAGTAATCCCTAACAGAGCCAAAAGTCAGTCTCGAGAGTACTTCCTTCTTCCTTCCTTCCTTCCTTCCTTCCTTCCTTCCTTCCTTCCTTCCTTCCTTCCCTCCCTCCCTCCCTCCCTTTCCTCCTTCTTTTCTTTTTTCTTTCTTTTCTTCCTTTTCTCTATCCCTCCTTTCTTTTCTTTCTCTTTCTTTCCTTCTTTCTCTCTCTTTCTCTTTCTCTCTCTCTCTCTCTCTCTCTCTTTCTTTCTTTCTTTCTTTCGTTCTTCTTTCCTTTTTCTATTCTTTCTTCTCTCTTCCCTCCCTCTCCCTCTCCCTCCCTCCCTCCCTCCCTTCCTTCCTTCCTTCCTTCCTTCCTTCCTTCCTTCTTTCCTTTCCTTCCTCTTTTTCTCTTTCTTTTCTCCCTTTTATTATTTCCTTCTTTCATTCTTTTTCTTTTTACTTCCTCTGCACTCAGGGTTAACTACTAACTGGACTCAGGGACCATCTGTGGTGCCAGGGATCAAGCCAGTGTCCAGTGAAGTGCATGAAAACCCCCTACAACTGTACTATCACCCACCCATTTCTTGCTTTGTCCACGGGTAGTTCTTCCGGGGGGACTCTGGGGCCTGCAGGGAACTCCCACGCTGGAGGCATAGGACCTGCCATTCAGTGTCTGTGTTGGCATAGGATGTGGGGAACCCTAGGACTCCCTAGTGGCACTGGGGGTTACATCTTTGTAAACTTTAAGAAGTTACTTCTTCATTATTGAGAATTGCCTACATGGAAAAAACAAAGTTTCAAACAAAATTGCCCTGCATATAAAATAAGTTCACACTCCATGACTTCATTTCCATAAAATTCTAGAATAAGCACATAAGACAGTACAAGGGAGCTTTTGAGGAGATGAAAATGTCTGTGGTGTCGGAGCCACGGGGGTTATGCTGATGCACATTTTCCAAAACAGATGGCAAGGGCCGCAGGATCTGAGCATTCGACGACATGCAAGTCAGACTGTAACGAAAAAGATCTAAATGCTATTTATTTATTTATTTATTTATTTTTGTGTGAGGCAAGATGATTTTTACTGAATACAGATTTTCCTTATTACTCTCCTCTTCCATTATTCTAAATCAGTTTCTAGAGAAAACACAGGCTTCTCCAGAGTGGAAATAAACAAGCCAAGGCAGGGAGAGACAAGCGATGGAGATGCAGGTTCAGGAGAGCACAGGCCTGGAGTGCAAGCCTAAGTGTTCCTGCGGGATTTAAAATAGAAATTTTGACATATGAAAAAATACCGGTGATTTTTGGAATTCAGAAGTTATGGAAAAATGGGAAGAGGACCTCCTCCAGATGAAACACAATATCTGCACATTGACAATGTGACAATACCTTGGGTGGTATTCATTCATACCAGAGAATACCACTTTTCTTTCTCTATTTCTGTATACGTGTGAACATTTCCCATAGTTAAAAGTTGAAAAGAAAGGAGCCTCAGGAACAAGAGAAAACAGTGGACAGAAAGATACACTCTAGGGGTAAAGGCAGCTCAGATAGAGAAGGGAGCACCAAGTAAAGGGTGTTGGGAAGATACTCCCAGGATGGGAGATGCCTGCTGAAAGTGGACTATAGACCGACATGATTGCTACCCATTGCCTCTTTTGCAAACCACAGCACCCATAGGGAGAGAGAACAAAAGGGAATGCCCTGCCACAGAGGCAGGGTGGGCTGGGGGGAAATGGGGGGGTGGGAGGGATACTGGGATACGTGGTGGTGGGAAATGGGCACTGGTGGAGGGATGGGTACTCGATCATTGTATAACTGAAACCCAAGCACAAAAATTTGTAAGTCTACAACTGTACCTCATGGTGTTTAAATAAAAAAATAAAAAAAAGAAAGATGATATAACTTGTCCGAGCTCAGAAAATGCCTCAGCCACCCAGCCCTCAGGCTCAGCGCCCTTTGATTCCCTGGAAACAGAAAACGCTTTCTGATAAAGCTGATTTTAAACAGAACCGATCAGCAGTGGGCTCATATAAGGAATGTAAATAAATATACACCGCCTATCATCTATAAACATGCTTCCTTTCTGTACTTCGGACCGTGAAATGGCTCTTCTGTAGATTTAGACTGGGTCTCACTCCAGATTCCAGAACTCGGCTGAGTGATTAGAGGATAAGAGAAAACGTTCTTCCCCTCCACATCCAAAACAAATGCAACATACAATTAAAAAAAAAAAAAAAAGGACAACCTGGGGCCTGCAGGTCCGTTAGCGGGCTAGCTCCCTGCTACAGGTATTGACCCTTGGATCCACTCACCTCCGGGAACTGCAAAACTAAAGGAGCAAACAAAAAAGTGAAGGCTGGCGCCAGGAACCGCTCACTCCCTTGCAGCGCTCAGCCCCGGGGCGAGGAGAGCAAAGTCGGACCCCAGGGAGTGGGGGGAGGCAGGCGACCCCGCGCGCGCGCGCGGTACCCACGCACAGCCCCGAAAGGTGCCCCGAGGCTGGGTGGGCCTGCCCAAACCCAAATAATTACACCCTCAAACCCACCCCCCCATCAACCCGGCTACCCACGGCGGCTTGGTCCGCGCGCCTGCACGCACGCGGGTGGGGGTCGCAGGGGCGGGTGCGGGGTGCGCGGGTTTCCCCTCGCCCAAGCTCCTGCGCCCCGGCCCTTCCGAGAGGGGTCTTGGAAAGGCGGGCAGCCCCCACTTCCGACGGCTGGCGGGGGCATATCAGGCTCGCCTGGCGCCGGGGAGCGGGGGCCGCAGGGGGGATGCCGCGCCTGGCGGTGTCTGATTGGTGCAAGGGAACGTGGGGAGAGAGAGCGGGTGGGTGGGAGAGGATGGGCGAGCCCCTCCGCCTCCTCCACCTGTGACTCACGCGCGGGCGCCCCCCAGCCGGGGACCACCACCCCAAGCATCCCCCCAAGGCCTGGCCAGCTGGAAAGCTGGAGGTGTTGGGAAGCCGCGCGCCCACCAGCCGGGGGACCCCCACCCACACTTAGCATCCCCGGAGCCGGGCCGGAGGGAAAGCCGGAGGCGGTGGGAAGCCGCCCCCCCCCCCCCCAGCCGGGGACCCCACCCTTAGCATCCCTCTCTGTCTGGGGGTCCGCGGGGATGCTCCTTCGGGGCGCGCGGGTCTCCCCCAGAGCGTAGAGGGCCCTGGGGTGGGGCGTCGTGCCAGCCCCCCTCGAGCTCCTTCTGCCCCGGCCCGCGGGTGCGCGCTCCCAGAGGGGCTACAGGGACCCCCTTCCTGCACGTTGCCCCCGCGCCCGGGCTGTGGAGCTGGGGGGGTCGGGTGGGGGAGAGCGGGGATGCTGGGGGTGGGGTGGGGGGAGGCGAGGATGGGAAGGGGGGATGGGAGCGCGCGCGCAGCAGCTGCCCCTCTGGCAGGGGTCCCCCTGGACCCGGACTCCAGGGTCCCCGCGACGCTCCGGGTTCGGGGCGGGCCGGGCTGCGGCGGCGCGGGGCGGGGCGCGGGGCGGGGGAGCCGGGGAGGAGGGAGAGGAGGAGGGAGAGGAAGGAGGAGGAGGAGGAGGAGGAGCGGGAGGAGCGGGAGGAAGGGGAGCGCGCGGCGAGCCGGCGAGCAGGCGAGGCGACGCGGAGCGAGGTGTGTGCGGGCTCCGGGGTGCCCCCCTCCCGGGCTCTCTCTGTCTGGGGGTCCGCGGGGATGCTCCTTCGGGGCGCGCGGGTCCCCCCCCCCCCAGGGCCGGGCTTTGCCCCCCTGAGCCCTCTCGGGGTGGCGGGGGGTCGGAGGCTGAGCGCGGGGCCGGGGGAAGGGGGTCGCGGAGCCACCGGCGGGGTCCCAGGTTCGTGCCCTACCCCGGGTCCCCTCCCCGGGCACGCGGGGCGCGCGCCTACCTGCCTGGCACTGATGCGCGCGAGGATGCTCGCGGAGCCCCAACTTTATCCCTTGGGTCCCCAAACGCCCAAACCTCAGTGTCCCCCCCGCCTGGTCCTTCCGCGCGAGCCTGCGACCCGCCAGTGAACAGGTGGTCGCGGGCTAACAGGTGCGCGCGGGGGCCGCGGCGGGGGCGACCCGAGGGGTGCGGGGCAGGGCGCGGAGAGCCACACCCAGGCGGGGAGCTGGAGGGCCTCTTGCCCCCACCCCCACCCCACCCCCCGGGCCCGGCCGCCCCCCAATCCTCCGGGACTGGGGCCCAGCCGCCGCCCGGCCCGGCTCTCCACTCCCCGGGTAGGTGCTGGGACCCCGCGCGCCCCGCCTGGGCACCCCGGGGAGGGCGGACTCCGTCTCCCCCCCGCCGCGACTCCACCTCTCAGTGCTCACGAGCTGGCAGATGATTCATCCCCACCCCGCGCTCAGTGGGCTGAGCTCGTGGAGATGCAATTGGGGGGGATGCTTGATTTTTCACGCAGAAGCTAAAAACAGCCTGCCACGGCTTGGAACAAGGATTCTTTCCTTTTTTTTTTTAATTTTATTTTTAAGGGTCTCACTCTTTGGGGGAATCTGCTGAACTTTCCGCGTGTTTGGGTTGGTTCTGAACTCGTGCGGTGGGTGCTGAGGACGCGATGTTTTGCCCAGAAAGCCTCCTGCAGGCTGCGTTTGCGTCCTCAGACAATTGCGCTTGTGTTCTAGGGTCGAGGCATTCACCAGCCATGGACGTGTTCATGAAAGGACTCTCCAAGGCCAAGGAGGGGGTCGTGGCCGCCGCCGAGAAAACCAAACAGGGGGTCGCAGAAGCAGCGGGAAAGACGAAAGAGGGTGTCCTCTATGTTGGTAGGTGACTCCACAGGCTTGCTAGCTCATCATTTGTTTGGGACGCATCCTGGATGGTTGGGGTTATCCATGCTGTCAGCGTTGGCTCATTTTTTTGCATGCCTCATAGCTTATCCACACGATGAACTGAGTCAGGCAGGGGTAGGTGAATGTGTGTGTTTGCATCTGGAGTGAAAGTGGGCCTCATTTTCACTTCATCCACATTCTAATTTTGCGATCGCATTTAAGGTCTTTTAAGAACCAATATTTCTGTGCATGAGTGACTGGATCTCAGGGGACATTTAAAATTACTCTGCCTTTTAAGAGTAATCAAGACTTTTGAAGAATCATTTGTGAGTCATTGAGTTTTGGTAACCTCATAAAAGATATTTGGTCTTTTTTTTAAAAATTTTATTAGTGAAGCACCATGAGGTACAGTTGTAGATTTACAAATTTTTGTGCTTGGGGTTCAGTCATACAATGATCCAGTACCCATCCCTCCACCAGTGCCCATTCTACATCATTTACATTTTTTTAAATTTTTGTTAGTGAAACACCATGAGCTACAGTTGTAGATTTACAAATTTTTGTGCTTGGGCTTCAATTGTACAATGAGCAAACACCCATCCTTCCACCAGTGCCCATTTCCCACCACCATCACGGATCCCAGTATCCCTCCCACCCCCATCCCCCCATCCCACCCTCCTCTGTGGCAGGACATTCCCTTTGGTTTTCTCTCTCTCCTTTTGGGTGTTGTGGTTTGCAAAAGAGGCATTGAGTAGCAATCATGTTTGGTCTATAGTCTACTTTCAGCATGTTTCTCTTATCCTGGGAGATTTGGTCTTTTTTTGATGTAATCTGATTTTAAAATAGGACATAGATTTGATCCTGGGTTTTACAAAAAGTGCCCCCCGCCCCAGCCCCAAAAAAGGACAGAAAAATCTTTGGTGATATTTCTTCAAACTGGGTTCACTTGGTAAACTGGCAACTGTAGATGTAAAGCAATTAAGGATTTATACTCATACCTCTGAGCATTTTTATTCTTAATTCACTTATCCATAATCAACTGAAACTTGTTTCTACTGGTTTCTAAAATCTCATTCTGACTATGCATGCTAACTCTCTTTTATTCTTTTTTTTTTTAAATCTGAAAACATGTTGTTAGTTTGAGTGTTAATTTAAACCACTTTAAATTGGAATTAAAAACCACTTTAAGGGGCTGGTGCAATAGCACAGCGGGTAGGGCTTTTGCCTTGCACGAGGCTGACCCGGGTTTGATTCCCAGCATCCCATATGGTCCCCTGAGCACTGCCAGGGGTGATTCCTGAGTGCAGAGTCAGGAGTAACCCCTGTGCATCACCAGGTGTGACCCAAAAAGCAAAAAACAAAACAAAACAAAACAAAACAAAAAACAAAACAAAAAACCACTTTAAACAGTCACCGGTATATTCACTTCATTCCAAGGTCCATGCCCACAGTCCCCCTACTCTCTGCCTCTCTCCTCTGTGCTCTTCCACGTTTACTGCTGAAGGCTGTAGCAGCAGGGACTCAGAAGGGGCAGCTGGGTGGTCTGAAGTGCTCTGCCTTTTTGGATTGAATGGAAGCTACATCAGGGTCAGAGCCACATCACAGGAGGCAGAGCACTAGCCTTGCACACAGACTACCAGGGTTTGATTCCAGCATCCCATATGGTCCCCCAAGTGCTACCAGGAGTAATTTCTGAGCACAGAGCTAGGAGTAGCCCCTTAGCACTGGAAGGGTTGGGGGCCACACACCCCTCTCTCACTGCTTCCCCCTGGGGTCATGCAGGCGTTGGCGGGGGGGAGGGGGGAGAGAAAGGGACATCATCTCTCCAACATCAATGGGCTGGAGAAAAGTTCTCCTTGGAATGATTTTTGTGGATGCCCCATGACAGTTTGCGTTTCAGAAACTTCCGTTGACTTGATCTTACCAAAGATCATCACTTTAATTGCAATTTCTCCATCTTCAGGCACACTTTCAGAAAAATCATAGGTTGAAAATTGATGCGTTAATTTTGAGTTTTTTAGGAAGTGTGGATTATGTCTGAATTGGTGAGGGGGGTATTAGGTAGATCTTTATATCCACCCTTAGTTGCATACAATCCGTGTTAGTACCCTTGGATTTCAGTTTACACTTTAGTAACTTCAAAAATATTTTAAAGATAGCAATAACCTATTAGTCTGTATAGTGAATAAAAAAAAAAGCACTGGTTTTTAGTGAATATAATTTTACTACATTACTCTTGTAGGTAATAAACAGGTTTTATTAATTATATATGTTTTATTTATTTGTTTTCATTGTCAACTACAAGTTTGGGTAAATAAAAAATTTCATTTTTGGGAGGGATGAACTTTGTTATTTTGTTCTGAGATTATTATTTGAAACTATGATTTGTCTGCATGTCACCCAATTTTAAAAATCCCTTCCAGTGTCTGTCACAGTATTTAATTAACACTTCGTATGTTTTCTAAATTATATGTTGATTATGTTCTGTGGTCTAAAACAAAGATGAACTTAAACACAGGATTTAATGATGAAAACTAGGTGTTTAGAGGGTGGTGAAATTTTCTCAGTAAGAAGCTAGCTAGTAAATATTTTAGGTTATGACACTGGTTACAAGGTGTGTTTCAACTACTCAACACTGTCATTGAAATGTGAAAGCTGCCATAGGCAAGAGTTAATATTGTTTGTTATAATAAAGTTTTATCTAGTAAAACAATCACAAATTCATCTGGCCCGTGTGTTGTACTTTATTGACTCTTGGTGAAGTGGAACATTTAGAGGCTTGATGTCAGAGAAACCTAAATTTATTACCTCTAAGTGGAAGTTATTCAGGTGTCCTGAGCACCACCTCCCTCATTTGTAAAATATAGGGTTCAGATGACCGCAACTAAATATCTTTAAAAGTTGTGATAAAACAAAACACTGAGTAATCCAGCAAAATTCTTTTGTGGGGGAGAGGTTGACAACCACAGGCAGTGCTTGGGGCTTCTTCCTGTCCCTTAGTGTTCAGGGGTCACTTCTGGCAGTGACCATATGCAGTGCCGGGGATTGATTTGGGGACTGCCACATGCCAGACAAGCTCCTTATCCCAAGTACTATCTCTCTGATACCCCAATTTCTTTTTTATTTTTAATTTTTATTAGTGAGACACCATGAGGTACAGTTGTAGATTTACAAATTTTTGTGCTTGGGTTTCAATTATACAATGATCAAATATCTATCCCTCCACCAGTGCCCATTCTCCACCACTAATGATCCCAGTATCCCTCCCAGCCCTCATCCCCCCCATCCTACTCGGCCTTTGTGGCAGGGTATTCCCTTTTGTTCTCTCTCTCCTTTTGGGTGTTGTGGTTTGCAAAAGGGGCATTGAGTGGCAATCATGTTCAGTCTATAGTCTACTTTCAGCATGCTTCTCCCATCCTGGGAGGATCCTCCCAACACCCTTTATTTGGTGCTCCCTTCTCTATCTGAGCTGCCTTTTCCCCTAGCATGTGTGGCTGGCCTCCAAGCCATGGAGTAAACCTCCTGGTACTTATCTCGGCTATTCTTGGATACCCCAATTTCTTAAACATTTAAAGACTAATTTTTGAGTAGTCTGAGATTCACAGCAAAATTGAGAGGAAGTTACAGAACTTTGCCATGTACTCCACCTCCAGATGCATAACCTCCCCTAATTTCAACATCCCTCATCAGTGTGCAGTTTTTGTTGTAATTGATGAACCCATATCAACACATTGATCACTTGATCACTTGTCATCCTCTTGTTCATTGATTTGCTCAAGCGGGTGCCAGTAACATCTCTATTCATCCCTGTCTCATGAGAGTGTAGCCCAGTGGTATATATGTGGGCTCTTTCAGGGTCAGGGGAATGAGACCAGTTATTGTTACTGGTTTTGGCATATCAAATTCGCTACTGGTAGCTTGCCAGACTCTGCTGTGTGGCCGGGATACTCTCCGTAGCTTGCCTGGCTCTCCGAGAGGGCCAGGAAATAGTCAACACATTATAATCACCCAAATTGCCTTGACTGGATTGACAAAGATGGTTTAACTGTGGTTATGAGTAGATCCACCTCACGACACTTTCTTCTATTCAAGTCTCTCTATTCAGCTGTTTCATCTGTTTGCTCCTTTGATGGCCAATGCCATGCTTTCTTGATTACTGACGCTCTCAAGTCTTGAGGTCAGAGAGCTTCAGTTCTTCAGTTTATCTCTCCTCTGTGAATTTTGTCTTGAGTATTGGATATTCTGGGCCTTTAGAACCTGCTTGTCAATACTGATAAAATAACGTGTGATTTTGATTGATATTGTATTGAGTCTAAAATTCAAACTGGGAAGAATTGATGTCTTCACAATGTTGAGTCTTTCTATACCTGGACATGTAACAACCCCCCCCCCTTTTAAGCTCTTTGATTTCTTTCATCAGAGTTTCTAAATTATCCTCATATTCTTTCTAAATATTCTGTTAAAATATGGCTAAATATTTTTTTTGGTACTAGTGTAAATGACTTTTTAATTTCAAATTCTACTTGTCCGTTGCTAATATAGGAGAGGGAGTGACTTATTTCTATGTATCTTCAACTTTCTGTAGTTAATTGCTAGTTTCAGGAGTCATTTGTCAGTTCTTTAGAATATTATCCATAGATATGGTGTCATTTGTCAATTAAAGCAAAGTTCTCTCCCAGTATGTGAGATTTTTTTCTTAAATATTACTCTTTCTTATGTAGCCACATGTTCTGCAATGAGACAGAAGGTTAATAGTAAAAGGAAATGCCCTTTCTCATTATTTCTATTAGTAGGAAACTTAGTTCCTTTACAAGAGATAGGATGTTAGCTACAAAATTTTGAAATTTTAAAATCAGATTAAAGACAATCCTCCTGTTTTCCTAGTATATCGGGCATTTTTTAATTAGGAGAGAAGAAATAAAGCTGCCTTAATTGACAAATGACGTCTAAATTAAGGTAATCTTGTTTAACACGGGCTTGCCTGGGTTTTGTGGGCAGGCTATTTCCCATAGAATTGATGGATTAAATTTACTGTTTTCACATATTGAAATAGACTGCATTTCTGGGATAAATGCCTTTGGGACCTGGTGCATTCTTTTTACATATCGTTTGATATAATATGCTAATTTTCATTGAGTGTCTTGGTAAAGCATACTTTTATATAGAGGTTATTGTTATCAGGTAAACTTTTTAACAGGCTGACTGCTTGTCAACATACTAGAAGCAATTGGGTTTTACCCTTCGTCCTTATTATTAAAACTGCTATCAATAATTAGCTTGAAAGACTGAGATTAAAGAAAAGTTTCTAATTTCACTATGTCAATGAAGTTTGTCACATCATTTTCAAAGACTCATTTTTCATGAGAAAAATAATCTGCATCCTTTATAATACTCTCTTTTGTTTGTTTTTGGGGCTCACTTGGCAGTGGTCAGGGCTTAATTCTGTCTCTTCACAGAGAGATCACTTCCGGTGGGGCTTGGGGCGCCATATGGGGACCAAACCCAGGTTGTCTGCATGCAAGGCAGACGTCTTTCTTGCTTTAGCCTTATAATACATATTTGAACATTATTTCTTAAACTATTAGAAGAATTTCCATAGGAATAAGTATTTTTGTGATTTTCATATATATATATTGCTTTTGGGGTCACACCCAGTGATGCTCAGGGGTTACTCCTGGCTCTGCACTCAGGAATTACCCCTGGCAGTGCTCGGGGGACCATATGGGATGCCAGGGATCGAACCCAGTCAGCCACATGCAAGGCAAATGCCCTACCTGCTGGACTATTGTTCCAGTCCTGATTTTCATATTTTTGTAATAACTTTGTACATAAATGTACAATTAACATACTTCCATGTAATAGACACTGTCAGTCAAATTATTGAGGAATTATAAATTGACATCAAATTCAAAAGGGAGAAATGAGCTTTCTTTACATAATGCCAAATATTCTCGTGGGAAAGGCAGGGAATTGGTCTTCCCGACTTTACAATCCTGTGGTCCTCGGTCAGCAGTGTGGACCCAATACGCTTCGCCTGCACCACGTCGAGAACATTCTCTTAACATGCAGCACCACAGACATCTAGGTGGCTTCTTTGAACTTCCAGGTGTTACTTCTTCAGAGATCCACTCTGAATCTGCGTGAAGTCATGAGAGATAAAATAAAGTCATCACAGAGCAGGAAGCTCTGTCAGCTCTTCGCTGTCTATATCTCATGGTCACGGAGTCCTTTGGTCACTGTTCTGTAGCTCTGTTTCTTCCAGTTACAGATTGCTCACTAATTAAAGGTCAGTCATTGATTACTGGCACTAATGGACAGCAAACAACAGGTGATCAGTTATGATGCAAATGAAGGACCAAAGAGATAGTTTAGCTGGTAGGTCATGTGCCTTGTGAGTGGTCAACCTGGGCTTGATCCCTGGTGTCCCATATGTTTTGTTGGACTCCACCAGGAGTGACCCCTTAACACAGAGCCAGGAATATGCCCTGAGCACAGCCACGTGTGGCCCCAAATCCAAAACAAACAAACAAAACCCAAATATGAAGCAAATGCTTCAAGACCCACATATATCCTTTTGGAAGGTCTAGAATTTCTTCAAAAGAAAACTCTCTTGGGGTTGGAGTGATAGCACAGCGCGGAGGGCATTTGCCTTGCACATGGATGACCCGGGTTTGATTCCCAGCATCCCATATGGCCCCCTGAGCACCGTCTGGAGTAATTCCTGAGTGCAGAATCAGGGGCAACCCCTGAGCATCACCTGGTGTGACCCAAAAAGCCAAAAAAAAAAAAAAGAAAAAAGAAAACTCTTTCTCTGTCCCTCTCTCTGTCTCTCTGCCTGACTGTCTGTCTTTCTCCCTCCTCTCTCTCTCTCTCTCTCTACATATATATATATATATATATATATATATATATATATATATAAACAGTTACGGCAAACTTCACCCTCTTTCTTTTGAACAGACATTGCAATTTATTTATTTATTTATTTATTTGCTTTTTGGGTCACACCTAGCAATGCACAGGGGTTACTCCTGGCTCTGCGCTCAGAAATTACCCCTGGTGGTGCTCAGGGGACCATATGGGATGCTGGGAATCGAACTCGGGTTGGCCGTGTGCAAGGCAAACACCCTACCAGCTGTGCTATTGCTCCAGCCCCAGACATTGCAATTTAAGAGTCAAAATTTATTTCTTTGATTGAGGCAACATTGCTGATGTAGTCAAAATCAAATTCCCAGATACTATTGACCCATCACGACCACAAACCAACTGTCAACCGTTCAGGAGTATTATTGGGTGGCAGGATAGGAAATATTTTCTTTATGGCAGACTGTTCTCAGTTTGGATATTCCAGTACACAAAGATTTCCATGACCACAGTTAGTTAAATAAACCCAGTGCCTAACAACGCAGTTCAAATTTCTGTTGCCACAGAACATTAACTCTGAGTGATGATATAAAGTATATTCTTCTCTCCTAGCTCTTTAGCCTGTCACACACTACATAAATAATAGGAAGCCATTCTGACGCATGATCGATTCACATCACTGCTTTCCAAGTTTGTTGGCCATTAGTCACTGCTAACACACAATATATTCCACACTTGTGTTGTGACCTTATCTCCCAGTAATAAACCCATGTGATATTTTACTGAAATGTATAAATAAAAGAAAATTATCCAGTAAATGGGGAAAAATGCGGCAAAGAAATATAGAGTGGTGCAGGTATAATTTGAGTCAAGCATATATCGATTGGCAGAAGATGTCTGTGGGAATGCTGATACTGAGATAGTTCAGGAAGTAGCTATGCACAGTTTAGGGTAAATTTCCGTGTTTTTTCTCTCTCTCTCTTTTTTTTTTTTTTTGCATTTTGGGTCACACCCGGCGATGCACAGGGGTTCCTCCTGGCTCTGCACTCAGGAGTTACTCCTGGCAGTGCTCAGGGGACCATATGGGATGCTGGGAATTGAACCCGGGTCGGCCGCGTGCAAGGCAAACACCCTACCCACTGTGCTATCTCTCCAGCCCTACTGTTTTCCCTTTTTAAAACTAGCATTACTAACACTTAATAAGAAAATATTTCATTCTGCCTAAAGATTTGGCTTAATGGAAACAGTATGGATTCGGGTCACAAGAGGACTAAGTTGGGCTGCGTTTGTAGCCGGCTAAGACCTGTGGGGTTTTAGGCAAATTCTTTAGCTTTTATTCGCATATTCCTCATTTATAAAATTGACATGAGCTGCCTTCATTTAAAGGCTCTTGGAGGACTGTAGAGGTGGTACAGGGGTAAGATGCTTGCCTCGCATGTGGTTGATTCTGGTTTGATCCTCGATATCACATCTGGTTTCTGGAGTCCTGCCAGGAGCAATTCCTGGGTACAGAGGTAGGAGTAACCGTTGAGCACCTCTGGGTGTGGCTTCTCTTGCCCCCATAATTGTTACAAAGCTTAAATGAGACGAAATATAAAATGCTTTTTACACAATAGGTGTTTAGGAAGTGTTCATTCCTCTTCCTCCTCCTCCTCCTCCTCCTCCTCCTCTTCCTCCTCCTCCTCCTCCTCCTCCTCTTCCTCCTCCTCAGTTTTGCATTCCATAGGTTTTCTGTACTCTTGTACAATAAAGGTTCTGCCCTCTTGAATCCCAAATCAACTACCACCAGCCCCAGTGTTAACTTGTCCTTCCCCCACTGTCTTACTGTGTGTCCTAGAGTACAAGGGCATACACAGTCATTTTGTGTACCAAAATCTTTTTTTTTTTGTTTTGTTCTGGTTTGTTCTGTTTTATTGTGTCATATCTGGAGATTCTCAGAGCTTACTCTCGTTTTTTCTCTCAGGAATTATCCCTGGCAGACTCAGGAGACCATATAGGGCACAGGGGATAGAATTTGAGTAGGTCTTGGGCCAGGCCAGGCCCTACTCGTTGTACTGTTGGTTTGACCCCCTGAACTAAATCCTTAATTATAGGAATCTCCTGTTACCTTTGCTTTCTGCATTTTAGTTTATATTCTAAGGGGTTCTGAGTTGTTTTTTACTTACTAGGTTGATTTAAAATGAGCTAATTTGACTCTCATGTCTTGAATTTGATTTTGTAGGTTCCAAAACCAAGGAAGGAGTGGTGCATGGTGTGACCACAGGTAAGCTTTGTGTGCGTGTGGATCCAATAAAAGCATGGAAAATGTCTAATAACTAGCAAAGCGCATCATTGAGCTCTCAGAGTATAATATCAACAACCACCGCGCCCACAGAGACAATCCGGTGGAAATCCTAGCTTTGTTTAACAACAGTTCTTTATGAAATATTTCAAGTATGTAAATATTCACTATTAAAAAAATAGAATGCAGTTTGTCAAAAATAGTGACTGGAAATGATCAGTCAAGTTTAATTTGTAGCACTATTGAATTTGAGTATTCTAACCAAATTAATGTTTTGGCATGAAGTAAGGCTTGCCATTTTTTCAATTGATTAAACTTGAAAAATATAATTAAATAGTCATTAAAATACAGTAAAATAATCTAATCGTGACATTCTCTTGGTGGATCAGACATTTTAAATATGTGGCTGATTTCATCAAGAGTTATCAGATAACAATGTGCCAATAGAAAAATGAAGAAAATTATGATAGAGCGATGCTAATAAGAAATGTGGTAGTGGTAGAAGTTACATTAAAGAATGCAGCTTGCCCTTAAGTGGTAGAATGTATATATTCCAGTGTATACAAATTGGATTGCTCAGTTGCAATAATTAAGCCAGTAAAAGCATTTACTTCAAGGGATCTTGTATTAATGTGATCGTTTTAAAACTTAATTTTTATAAGAAGTGGATAGCAGATAGTTGGAGACATACTAATTACCTAGATTAATGGCATTTGAATTTAAGTCTCAAAGGACAATCTGTTTGGTTTAGAAAATGGATAAAGCGTTAAGCAAAAAACAGAGTTTGTGTTAAAAATCAGAGAACACAAAAGATTATCTAATAGAGAGAATAGGATTGTCGTGCAAGGATGGGGCAAAGTCAGAATATAAACATAAGAAACGTGTGTGTGTGTGTGTGTGTGTGTGTGTGTCTTTTAGCTTGTTATACAGCCATTGCATCATTCAACCACGATGGCTAGTATAGCATCAAAAATCTTGTCATAAATCACCTGGCAATGAGAATGCATTGGACAAATCAACTGCTATAAGGTCTCCTCAATCTCCCCTGTCAGATAAATGAATTACTCAATTTAGTGAGTGGGAATATTCAATACAAAACTCCAATTTCAGATTAAGAGGATAAGTAAACTTAATGTGGTTACCTCAGTGATTAGGGAGAGGGAAAATCGATTGTTCATTATACTTCATTCAGAATATTGATTATGTGTAGGTGATACACCTAGATAAAGGCTACTTAGCATTGCTTAAAAGAAAAATCTATGATATATGTGTGACATGTGATATCATCAGGTAATATTGAAATGTAAGTTTTAAATTGATTTCACTACCTATCTTGGCAGAAATACAGACTTCAGTGTCTTATGCTATGAACTTGCTATCTGTTTGCACTTTGGTGGAGGGTGTGATGCGGTATTATTTTACCAACAAAAACTAAGCAGTTACACAGTTATAAATAAATGTCACCTTAATAAAAATGAATCTAAGAAAAACTAATTATGCCAGTTAGGTAATCTTAAACTAGAATCCTGAAAAGTTTGCCTGAAGTTTGATTATTTGACCTCAGGATATTATCAGTGTACTTGCCAGATTTATTTTTCAACTTCTTAAGCAATTATTAGTAGAAAATCATGTATTTGAAAACCTTTTCCACAACTTTTTTTTGCATATTGTTACAAGTGGTGAAAGCAGAAAATAATTTTTGTTGAGATATTGTTGCATAATAACATTATATAAGTTTCATATATGTGAAAATCAAAATGTCTGTGCCTTCCTCCTGATTGGTGCACCTCATACTCCAGAGTTCCCCCTTCTTCTTCCTGCAACCACGGGTTGACCTTTGAAAGTTTATTAAAGTGACATAGGACTAGGGTGGAGGGTTGTGAACACTTTGGTGGGGGTGAAGATGCAACAAGTTTATACATTAACATCATAAATGTTAGGTAACTCCTGAGTACCACTGGGTGTGACCCAGAAAAACAAATAAAAAAATAATACAGACTACCCTGTAAAGTCCAACAGGTTCTCCCAAATAGCATGATTTCACCTTTCTCTATAACTGTATTCCATGTTGTGTGTGTGTGTGTGTGTGTGTGTGTGTGTGTTTGTTACAGTACCCAGATCTTCTTCACTGCTTTGTCAGTTGATGGGAGCATGTTTACAGTTCTTGTAAATAATGCTGCAACAGATGTGGCATGCAAATATTTCCATACATATTTTTGTATGTTTGGGGTATAAAAACACACAAGTGGGTTAACTGAATCATATGGAGTGGATTTCTTTAGTGTTTTGAGATATCATAAATAGCTAAGTAGCTATTTATGCCCAGATAGCTACGTTGATTTGCATTTCCAGTAATTCTTTCTCCATCCTTTCCTCCACTTCTTTTCTTTTTTTTTCTTTTCTTTTCTTTTCTTTTCTTTTCTTTTGGTAATAGCCATTCTCTGAGGTGTGAGATGTCTCATTGCTGTTTGGTTTATATTTCATTAATAACGCATGCATAGTTAGGTGGTGAATTCTCACTTGTTGTGCACTGTAGCTTTATGTGTCATGTTAGATAAGAACATGAGAATATATTTAATTTGAATTTTCTGAATGGCCTGTCTGTGGATGGAATTTAAAAAGTGAATGTTGATTACTTACTTTTTTTCCTCACAAAATGGTCTAAAGTAATTCTTTAAAGTTTATCAAAGGTCTGATTCTTAAGCAGATTTATTACATAATGTACATGTTATAATTAAAGTTTCTAATTAAACTATTTATAGTGCAAATTCCTTTGTTTTTATCTAATCTATCATTTGAATGTTCATTCAAGATTAGATATTTTTGTTTTGTGATTTAAGGTCAAGATTCAGATTTTCTATATGTATCTAAAGTTGATGGAATATTTTTCCATTCTGGAATTTTATTTATTTTAATATTTTTTTACTTTTTTGGGTCACACCCGGCAATGCACAGGGGCTACTCCTGGCTCTCCACTCAGGAGTTACTCCTGTCGGTGCTCAGGGGAACATATGGGATGCTGGGAATCAAACCCGGGTTGGTCGTGTGCAAGGCAAACACTCTGTCCGCTGTGCTATCTCTCCAGCCTCTGGAATTTTATTTTTAATTGAAGTCAATATAAATCCAGTTATTGAAGTTCAGGTTGAATGCTCTTCACTGATATACACAAAATTCTTCTTCGTTCAGGTCCTGAGCATCTACTATGAATCAATGTAAAGAAAAATAAGCCAGGGTCTCTCATTCATGCACAGTGCATCTGAAACCCTAGGAGTTTATGGAGGACGAACAAGGGCACTTCCCTGGGAAGAGATGCTGTAATGTAGCCTTTAACTTTAAGATGGAGTTTAGCCAAAGGTTGGGAATTGCAGAGTAAAAGAAGGTGGAAAAAGTGTTCTTAATACATGGGTCTTTCCTCACAAAGATGAGAAACGCTCACACATTTGGGCAATGGATGAGTGGGTTGAAAATAGTAGAGTATCAATTCTCTGGAAGAAGGAAGTTTCTTTTTTAGCCTGATTATAAGGTCTTTTCCCTTAAGTAGTGTGGAGTTGATCCAGAATGTACTAATTTGAGAGTGCTTCCCTTCCTTCTCTCTTTTGTTTGGAAGGCCAGTGAGTGGAGAAACTGGTTATGATATCACAGTGGAGAAAAAAAGGCTTCTGGAGCAGCCGGTAATCTGGGCGAATCAACTCCCCACACGGTTCTCGGGGTCTTAAATATTCCAGCACATGCACTGTGGTTTTGTAATGAAAATCGTTTACTGTTTTTCCCAAAGATAATGAAGTAGTAATAAAATGGAAACTACATTTTATGTGCAGTTTATTTGCATTAAAACTAGATGAAAGTGTATTCATATATCAATGCATGGAGTGCATACTTTACCTAAGAAGGCCCAGGTTTGATTCCTGGTAATGCCTCATCCTCTGAGAACTACTAGTGATGCCAGCGTCCACCTGGGAGTAGCCTCCTAGCAGGACCAGGTGTGACCCCAAAACGAAACCCAAACCAACCGAAAAAGTAAACATTTGTAGACTTAAATTTAACTTCCATGGCTGACAGAAAAAGTAAGGAGTCTGCAGAGGGTCAGATTTTACTTTTATCTTGGATTGATCACTGTCTCTGTCCTCCCGTTGTTCATTGATTTGCTCAAGCGGGCCCAGTATCGTCTCCATTGGAGACTTTGTTGTTATCTTGGATTACTTACAAGAAAATGGTCCTTTTTAGCCAAATTTTTCTCTGCATTCTTTTCTTAGTAAAAAAAATAGTCTGACTATTGGGAGAATCTAATTCATGATTTGTCTAGGTTCAAAACTCTAGAAGTATTTAAAAACACTGAGTTTTCAGTCTACTTTTCTGTCATTCATATTAAACTTTGCATTATGACCGGCCATTTACTGGCTATCTTTATAAACCCCAATGTCGCGAGTATCAAGTAACACCTGTGAAAGCCTTTCCTTGCTTAAGTCCCAGGACAAGCTTCCTGACATTCTAAGGACCAAAGAGTAAGACCCAGAGGGCGTCCTGACAACTCCTGAGCTTCCAGACCCTGCAGTGTCCTGGAATCAAATGGTTTTGTCCTCGCTGTTTAGCCGTGAACTACTCCATATATATGATATGCCATTCATTTGTGCAGTAACCATGTCTCCAACACACATGATGAAACAGCTGACATAGTAGACATCTTGGCTCTTTGTTGGAACTCTCCAAAAAAAACATAAAAGGTACACACAAAGCCTAGCGAGAAATAACACTCAAGAAAAATAACACTAAGACCCCAAATTCCTGAAATGTGGAATCTGGTAGGTCTGGGAGAGGGGGAAAACAGACCAAAAATGAATTTGTAGAGAATCAATAAAGATAAATATCATATAAGTTTAACTAAGAAATTTAAGAATTAGGTTGTGTGAGCATTAATGTTACCAGATTTAGAAAAAGGGTTATATCTGTGTTGACCTTGAAGTGATTAAAAGGAGCAGAAGATTTTGATTTTTGATGAGTTTAACAAAAATAATAGCTTATGAATTAAATTAGCAATTAGCATTTTTAGATAGGTGTTCCAAATTTCAATAATACATCAGGAGGTGCTTTTAAAAAAGAAATTTATTTACACTCTAAAGATATGCATTCAAGTTGCATTATGTTTTTATACACTTTTGCTGTTGTCATCTACTATTTCAGCTATCTTAATGGACAGATGAAGTAGATAGTTCTAACATCATGTGCCTTTTCTGTGTGTATCATTAAACATCAGCATTCACGTATGATTCACCACTAAAAAAAAAATCTACTTCCATTCATCACCATGTATTTGACCTCTTCCAGCTGATTTCCCACCCTTTTCTCCATCAACCACTGCTTTGATCTTCAGATTAAATGCTTAATTGTAGAAATAACAGTTTTTATTGGTGCTTTAATTCTGTGATATTACGAAAAAATAAAGAAACATGACTTCAGCAGCTATGCTGACTAAAGTTCTAAGATGTTTCAGAAGGTTTTGCTATGAAGTTTAAAATTTGAAGTGCTTGTTAATCCAAACCCCAATTATTTGTCTTCTTGATATATTTAGTTTAAAAAATCCACCGATTGACCATATTTTATATTTTTGAAACTAAGTCAGGTGTTCAATAATTCTTTTTATTTTAATATTCTATGTCTGGACTGGAGCGATAGCACAGCGGTAGGGCATTTGCCTTGCACACAGCCAGCCTGGTCGAGCCGGGTTCGATTCCTCTGCCCCTCTCAAAAGAGCCAGGCAAGCTACCTGTGACGTATTGGATATGCCAAACACAGTAACAACAAGTCTCAAAATGGAGACGTTACTGGGCCCGCTCGAGCAAATCGATGAACAACGGGAGGACAGTGACAGTGACAGTGACATTCTGTGTCTAGGTTTTTGTCTCCACTAAAAGAGTTACAGATACATTTTATTAAGAAATCTTCTATTTGAACGACCTGAAGTTTTATGAGTTCAATCTAAGTTCCTTTATAACGCGTCTTTATTTGCCTCTGGTAGCGGCTTGTATGAGAGCATGTGACACTCAGAAGGTGTGTGAAAATGAGCAGGCAGAGTGAGATGAAAAAGATTGATTATCAGATTAAAATGTATACGTCTCATGCTGAGTCTGAGTTCATGATATCGGTGAGGAAAACTTTCCTCATAAAATATACATTCCTGCTCATTAAACCAGAGGCACCTTTTATTCTCCCCACGATTTGAACAGAATCTTAGCAAAGATTCCACGTTCGACCATCCCTTACCTCCCCCCCCCCCCACCTCCCCACACCCACCCCTGCTTCCTCAGCAATGTCTCCGCCTCAGATTCCTTCTAGTCCAGTTCTCTCCGGGATGTGGAAGTAGAGGCATTTGGGAGTTGGGTGCTGGGGGAGGTGAAATCATCTTGATCATTTCTCCACCAGCCCACAATCTCTTCTTGCTCTTGATTTACCTCAGTGGCTGAGAAGACCAAAGAGCAAGTGTCAAACGTTGGTGAGGCCGTGGTGACAGGAGTGACGGCAGTCGCCCAGAAGACCGTGGAGGGAGCGGGAAGCATCGCGGCTGCCACCGGCTTTGTCAAAAAGGACCAGATGGGCAAGGTAGAGTTGCAACCTTGGATGCTGTGCTTGGGAGAGTCTGGAGCGTTTGCATGCAAGGCAAGAGGCAGAGATAAGATGCTTACTTGGAAGAGAGCTAACTAGTCACCATTTCCTAAAGTATCACAAAGTATGTACTCTGTGTGTGTGTGTGATTTTGGGCCATGCCTGGCAATGTTCAGGGTTTACCGCTGGTTCTGCAATCAGGGCCAGCCTTGGGGGACCATATGGGGTGCTGGGGATCAAGTCTTGGTCTCTGTACATTCTCTCTGGCCCCTGTGTATTTTGTTTTGTGGCATTAATACAGATGAATCCTATGCGGACTGCACAATAATCATGACTATTTCAATCTTTGGAAGGAAGTTCAATGAAATGAACAATGTAATACATTCCCAGTGGAGCAGTGACCTTTCAAAAGAATGTTTGCTATGAATTTTGGAATTTTTCCTCATTGGAATATAACAAGTCACTTTGTGTTCAATCTCTAAATTTTCCAAGTGAAGATCTTTTTTACTTGACTTCTTTGTCATGATATCATCTCCTATTAAATCGCGTGTGTACGGAATCACATAACAGTTTATTGTCTAATATGTTTGTGGGGACTCTTGAGACTTAAAATGTGTTTGAACCACGGAATACGGTGTAGGGTCAACTTCCAAATTCTCAGGATTCTGAGTTTGTGCTTCTTGATAAGTCCGAGATTCTAGTCAGGCTATCCAAAAATATATTTCAGATGTATCATTTGAAATTGGTAGGCTATAAAAAATGGGGTACCAATTAAAAGAAGAAGCTGGACAAATTTCAGGAGCGCAGAATGGCTTCTGCTTTTTTGTGCCCCCCCCCCCCCCCCCCGTAAGCTTCTTGTCCTCCTGGACAGATCAAACACACCCTGGTTTCTGGAAGGCTCTTGGCCAAGTTCACGTCAGAAGCTCAGAACCTCAGACCTGCAGGTCTTTATTAAATGACAGATTTCCCATGAGGCTTGTTCTCCTATATTTAAAATTGCAACCATTCACCTCACCTCTGACATTCCCAATCTCCTTTTAATTTTTTCTCCTTTTCCCACCAAAGCATTTATCACCTTCAAAAATAAAATTGAATAGTTCTCCTACATAAAAAAATGGAAAATTGAACTTATTTTTTAAGTATGCTGGTTATGTATTTGTACACCATAAGGGTGGTCTGGATTTGTTCACTGACTTTTCACTGGTGTTGGGAAGACTGTTTGTCTTCCAGTAAATAAGTCAGGAATATTAATTAGATTGAAGAAGAAAAGAGGAAAGGAAATACATGAGTAAGCAGAGTGATTTCTGAGGCTTGAATAATTACATGCATAGTAAAGCAACCATGTTCATTTAATTAATAATTGGAATAGTTTGGGAACTTTTGCAGCTCTAAAAAAATAGTTTTCTTTGCTAGCAGTTTTCCATGTCTCTATATAAACTGAGAAAGCCATCAGAAGTCAACCTTGACAGGCCAATAAAATATTGATAATAAAAGTCAGAATGAAAATTCTGTGACATATTTAGATTCTAGTACAGGAAGGTCTGTTGGTGACATGGATATGAATTGTGGAGTATTATGAATGGTACTTATAGTCAAGTTCTCCAACTGAATTCACATTGATGAGTACTTTATGGCAAATGACTCTTTTCCGCTAAGCTTGAGCTATTAAATGTACTGATCCGTACTTACAAGACAAAGTTTGTAACTGTGTGCAGGACTTCACTGCAGTCTAAAATCAGGGGGACTTCAGTTATTAGTAGAGGAATTTTACTCGGTTACTGCCCTAGACCCTTTCGACAACGGGGAATAAGCTATGATCCTCTACCTTGAAAAGCAATCCCCTGGTGCACACATCAGAGGAATTAGGGATCTTGAAGCCCGTTGACAGATGAAACATCACTGAGGTCTGCCTGATGTGCAGATGAGGAGCATGAGCTGGAGAGGGGATCTGGAGCCCAGGGCTGTGTCCCCCCCCCCCCCCCGAAACAGATCCTGCACAGCGAGATCCCGACTTTCCTTTCACTGCTGCTCCCCCCTGGCTCCCTCAAAACCCAAAACCTGCCTGCTGGGCTTTGCACACGTTGCATTGGAGTCTTTCTTTGCTTCAGAATATTGAACAGCCAGGGACACAGGTGCCATGAAGAGAGATGCCGTGTGGATTGCAAGTAGGCCCCGTTTCTCTTGCATCGTGCTATTGTGCCCTTCTACAAGAATACTTCCAATATTTGAAAGTAGAAGCTGCCCTATGTGGCCAAATTAACTATTTGGAGATATTTCTCCTATGTGCACTTAGGAATTTCTAATATAAGAATGGAGTCGTAAAACCTAGAAGCAACAGCATGTTTCTGGGTGAACGGTTGTACTGGGGATGAAATGGGTGATTTTCATCCCTGCCCTCTCACCAACCTGCTGGATGACCTTCTGCAGGTTTCCTGAGATCCTTTTGCATAGAATGAGGGAACTATTATTATAATGGCTAAAGCCCAATTTAACAGTAAAATTCTAAGTTTCTGTATTAACCCAAAGAAGACACAAATGAACTCTCTCCTTAATGGCCACTTTCAAGGATGCAAGCAACTCGAGAGAGTTTAAATTAAACATTGGATTTGTTCATTACAAAATTGAAAATGGTTTAATTTCATCATCCAGACTCCGACTAATGTGTTTCTGGTGAGTAGCCATAAAAAAGTTGTGTTTAACTAATTTTTTGATTACCTCACCGAGACACTCAGCTATCATTCAAAAACTAATGTTTTTTCTCTGGGCAATAAATTGGCTGGATACCGCGGTTAAGTTATTTTCACAAACGATGCACTTTTACTCTTCTTTGAGTTACGGGACAGTGCTCAAGGATCAGATTATTCTCAGAGCACTGTACCTTAGGTGTATAATGCAGACTGTGAAACGTGGTCTGGAGTACATATGTCGAGGATGTGCAAACGTTGAAGGATACTGTCACAGAGGTTTTCTTCAAGAAGCGATATATATATTGAAGCTGAGATCTAGAACTGGACTGGCAACGAACATTCCAGCTGGAAGCAACATGAGGAAGCCTCAGTGTCAAACCAGAGACAAAGACAGTGTGATTAGAGGTAGAGAAAAAAGAGGGCAGAGTGTGGAGAGGCTCAGGGACGCCCGTCAGAAGCAGGCTGGTCTTTATCTAATCAGGGAATCTTGTCCAGCTTCGTAATTAAGAATGGCAGGTTATAAGTTTGCAGGAGGTGGGCATCTCTGCTTGCAATGATGCGAAACCCATTCCAGGGAGGGAGAGTAGGAACCCAGGATTGCTGGTGGACTGTGAAGACGGAGGAAATGGTTCTGTGTGCTGATTGGTTGGTGGAGGGATGGGATAATTCTAAGACTGTGCCAGGGCTGATGTGGAGAAGATTGGGTAACGCATTTCATGAGGCTCGACTTGGTGGAAGATTCTTCTGAGAGAGCCATCTGCTCGGTGTCTACTAGTTGAAGTGGATTAATGACTGTGTCTTTTTTTGTGTGTGGTGGTTGGTGCCTCACTTGAAGTTCAAGGATACTGCAAGTGGAGGAATTGTGTTGAATTTCAACTCCTCGCCTCCTTGGCAATGTTTGGGGCATCAGTTCCTGATTATGAGCAAATAAAGCACCCTACCCATCTCTCCCCTCCCCTCCCCTCCTCTCCCCTCCCCTCCCCTCCTCTCCCCTCCCCTCCCCTCCCCTCCCCTTCCTCCTCCCTTCCCCTCCCTTCCCTTCCCTCCCCCCTTCCCTTCCCTTCCCTTCCCTTCCCTTCCCTTCCCTTCCCTTCCCTTCCCTTCCCTTCCCTTCCCTTCCCTCCCCTCCCCTCCCCTCCCCTCCCCTCCCCTCCCCTTTCCCTTCCTTTCCCTTCCCTTCCCTTCCCTTCCCTCCCCTTCCCTCTCCTTCCCTTCCCTTCCCTCCCCTTCCCTCCCCTTCCCTTCCCTCCCCTTCCCTCCCCTCCCCTCCCTTCCCTTCCCTTCCCTTCCCCTCCCTTCCCTCCCCTCCCCTCCCCTCCTCTCCCCTCCCCTCCCCTTCCCTTCCCTTTCCTTCCCTTCCCCATACAACTTGCTTTGATAAACCCTGTCATTTTTGTTTTGTTAGGAACTGAGATGAACAGAGGGACCTAAGTGTTACTGTGAATTCCATCTTATGAATGAAGCTGCTCTTTGTCGTCACTTTTCACTGCGAGACATTAGGTTAAAGGGCAAATTGATTGTCTTCAGTCTTAAAAGTGATTGAACGTTATTGGTGTTTTTATTGAATACATGAGAACGGTACATCTTCTAATCTGTCTATCTGTGTGCACACAAAAGGCTATCAGACACGCAGTTTATTTTTCGAAGCTCATTTGTTTGATTGACACGTTAGGCTCCAAACACAGTGGCAGGGGAATTTAATTTTAAGTTCAGTGATGCTGTACAGATCAAAGCTATTTTCTATTTGAAATAAATTACTGTTGTTTCTAAGAATACTGGATTATAAAAGTAACTCTAGAACATTCTTCGGGAGTGCTCCTCCTCGCTGTGTTTCCTTTATTCTTGAACACATCTCCTTTGCATAGAGTTACTGCTCAAATCCTTGTCGAACAAATGATGTCTTCAATGCTTTCTGAAATGTCTTCAAAGAGCAGAATCTTGGTGGCCCTGAGGCTTTTATCTTTGTAATTTCCTGTATTTTACCGACAGTGAAAGTCCTGTGTGAACTCTGAAGCCACTGCCTGATAAATAACACCATGCCATTGGTTTTTTATTACATCCTATTTTGGTACTGGCCAATCCACATGGAACTGAGTAGGCTAAGAAATAAGCTTTATTATTTATATCCTCGAAACTTGAAATACTTGTTCATTTCTCGGGGGTGTATGTTCAGAATCACCATGCTTTTCTAACCAACGCTATCTTGGAAAAATCTAATCAGATTTTGAACAATTTTCATTCTTGCAGAAAATGAATGTTTCAAGTGGGAGGGAGCAATCATACTCTAACCCTGCCTTACTTCATAAGAAAGTAACTAAACAAATCTGTGCTTGAAGAATAAACTAAAACATAAATAAAATATGGAAATAAAATATGTCAGTTTCACATGATGAGCTAAATATTTAAGCATCTTTTTAATTATTTCCTTTGACTTTCCAATGCTATCATGCTTAACTTGATGCAAATTTATTTTTCAGCACTGGAGTGTTATGTACCTTTTGATTGAATAATTTATCAGATGATGGATGATGCTTCAACCGACCCCAGGGTTCATTTCACCAATAATCCAAAGGTCAAGGACAACATTTTAGGTTTCTTTGAAGATGATTACACAAATTACAAACAGATAAGTGCAGAGAGAATCTAAATAGTATTTGTAAAAAGGGACTAATAAGAGTAGTCAGAATTACTGGAATATTTTGATTATAAGTAAACTTTATTTATAACTGTTTGATAATGCTGACATCCTGGTTCCAATAATTAAAACTTTAGTCCTTGCTTTTGTAGTTGATCTCAAAAATGACCAGCACACCTTTCGTTACACTGAAACCTAAGCTCTAAGTGATGTATTGAGTTGCCTAATTTCTATCTGTGGTCAAAGAGGAGAGTACTGCTTATTGCGTTATAATAGAAAAGATCTATTTGACCTAATGAATTTGTCTTAAAATGTGGCAACCAGGGCAAGAGAGATTGCTTTAGGCTGGGTGCATACTTGGTTTACAGAAGGTTCTGGGAATTCGTCCTGGCACTATGTGGTCCCATTGTACACAGCCAACAGTGGCCCTCAGCAGAGAGCCAAATGCCGGTAGCCCCTGAGTACTAATTGTGGCCTCAAAGTAACAAGAAAATAATAATAATAATAAAATGGAAATAAAATGCATGTAGTTGGTACCATTATAATTTGTGAGGAAAAGTCAGTATTTTATTCTGTGACGGAATTGTCCTGTAGAAACACCTCCACGGGATGCCTTTCTTTCTCTTCAGTTTCTTTGTTTCTAAATCCTACTCCACTGGATTTGCAGCATTTGAACCCTACTTCCAAATGACCTTTACTCTTGCAGGGCTGTAAATGGGAGGAGGAAGCATCTTGTGTTTGAGATCATGTGTGTATTTGTAATGACCATAGTCAGTGGTTTTTGTTAAAAATTGAGAAAGAGCTATTATCTCTGTCAATATACCTTAAGTTTTTTTTTTTAATGTACTATGGAATTACCTCACATGGATAAGGATCAAAGGACAGTAGCTGGTTAGATCAGCAACCCCTAGAACTGGGACCAGCATTAATAATCTGGAAGCAATAGAACCCTGTAATAGATAAATGACTACAAAATTCGGTTGCCCTCTTCAAGGAATGGCTATTGATGATACCTTTATCAGAAAAAATGTATGACAGAACAAATGTAGTAGAACTGGTTCAAGATATACCAGTAGCTTTAAATCATAAATTTGGAATTTACATTTCCTCATAACTACTTAACAGGGATTAAATTTTTCAACTTCTCTTATCATCTAAGCATATTTAGATGGTAAATAAATAATTGCCATATTTAGAGTGTGAAATGAATAGTTTATTAATTCCAATATGAGGCAGTTCTTTTATAGGAAACTTAAAATCTTACCATACATTTGGATATTTAAATTAAAATTTTACTGTTTCTTTTACCAAGTAATTCTGCGATTACTAATAGTCATTTATGAACATTCCAAAAGTAAAATTTAATTTTTATTAAGACTGCGAATATAGAAAGAGTAGCTCTGTAGCACTGTCCTCCCATTGTTCATCGATCTGCTCGAGCGGGCCCAGTAACTTCTCCATTGCGAGTCTTGTTGTTACTGTGTTTGGCATATCGAATATCTCTGTAGCTTGCCGGGCTCTCCAAGAAGGGCAGAAGAATCGAATCTAGGTCCTCCAGGTCAGCTGCGTGCAAGGCAACGCCCTACTACTGTGCTATTGCTCCAGCCCTATAGCTTCTCGGCCTTTTGGCTAAGATCAAATGTAGTATAGAAGGAGTAATGAGCCAAAAATATGTGTGTTGAGTAAACAGGTAATTGTGTAACTAAATTTTGTAAGAAAGCAGGAATTACTTATTTTATCAATGAAATGTGGGAACTGTCTCACTGTCTTTGGTGTTCACTAACACAGGAAGATAAATCTATTTGGAACTCTTGTTTGTTTTGGTTTGGTTTTGGGGGTCATGCCCATTGGTGCTCAGAGATCATTCCCGGTGGGGTTGGGGGACCATATATGGTGTTGGGGATTAAACCCAGGGTAAGCGTGCATGAGTAAGACAAGCTACTCACTACTTACTACTCCCCTACTCACTGCTGCCTCTTGATCCCTGAAATTCACTTCTTAGCAGTTGATTTTTTTGCAACTTTATTGTTTGCGTAGAATTAGATGAACATTATTATTTTTTTTTAATTAAGACACTCTGATTTGCAAAGTTATTCATGGTTGAGTTTCAGGCATGCTATGTTTCAGTGCTGGTCCCATCGCCAGTGCCAGCTTCCCATCACTGCTTATTTTCGTCCCCCAAAAATCTTCTTTATTCACTAATAAATAAAAAAGTCAGTTGGAGATAAGAAAGGACAGCATAATCCATAATGTAGACTTTAATTTAAGGAAATAAAACAGATTTTTAACTCCCTGTGCTAATAAAGTAATAGGATGAATCTGGACGTCCCTAATCATCCGCCATCTCTTCATGAATTTTATCCTGTGGGGTTATTGGGGCTCGAAAATGGTCCAAAAAAGGAAAATTGCTCTTTAAAGATATGATGTATTCACTGTGCACAGTTTTTGTGTTCTGATTTTGTAGTCAGCTACTTTGTTACATTGGTTTACTGATTCTAGAAATGTTTTAGTAAAGTTTTAAGGGTCTTCTAGTTGTACTATGTTATATGCAAATAGAGATAATATGATTTCTCTTTTTCTGATTTGGATTACCTTGATTTTTTTTTTTTTTTTGCTTTTTGGGTCACACCCAATGATGCTCCAGGGTTAATCCTAGCTCTGCACTCAGGATTGACCCCTGGCTGTGCTCGGGGGACCTTATGGGATGCTGGAAATCGAACCCTGGTTGGCCGCGTGCAAGGCAAATACCCTACCCACCGTACTATTGCTCTGGCCCTTCATTTCTTTTTCTTGCCTGATTGCTATGCCTAGAACCTTTAATATATTGAATAAAAGTGGAGACAAGTGGGACCTCCTTGCCTTGTACCTGATCTCAGAGGAAATGCTTTAGTGTTTCAGCCTTAAGTCTGTATCTTTGATTTTTACCATTTTGGTGCTTTGTGCCTTGGTTTTGTTCTAGTTGAGTCAATTTTGTTTGGTATTCTGAGCTTCTTGAATCTCTGCAGTAGCCCCACTCCAGAGGCCTGAGAAATTCTCATTATTATTCCTTCCCATGAGTTCTTAACTTTATCCTTTTGTCTCTGGGTATTCCTATAATTGGAGATTATGACTCTTGCTCCATTCCACTAAGAATCTTCCATTCTTTTACTTCACTATTCGTTTTCATTCTTGCTGCTGCCTTGTATTTTGTCTTTAAGTGTGCTGTAGGGTTCTCCACATTCAGAGTTCTGTGGCTGTGTCTTGCTATTGTATTCTTTATAGCTCCTTCAATTCCCTTTGTCAGCATTGTTTCATGCTTCGAATCCGTTGTTCTTTCAGTTGATTGAATTTCTCTTGCAGTGATTGATTAATTTCCGCAGGCACTGTAGGGATTGTTGCATTGAAATCCTTCTCCATGAAGCTTGGGGAGTTTTCTGAGCTCTGGGACTTGCTGGACTTCCTACCTGCCAGGAGAGCTGTATTGTTTTGTCTCCCTTGTTGTGATTGGGGTTTTGGGGTGCTGACAGTTGAGCTGTAGGTTTCTGATGGACTGATGCAATTCATTAGTTTGCACTAAGGAGACATTGCTGATGATCTGATGTTCTATTTACATAACCCTGGAATAGTATTTCAGTAGGAGATGCAAGTTTAAATCTAGTTCCCCCCATTTAGATATCAGGGTTTCCAAGGAGGAATTCTGGGACAGAATTAATAGACTTGCATCTTCCCAGAAGCCCTTGGAGTCTGTGGTGTAGGTAGAGTGGAGTAGCTGGAAGAAGCTTTAATTTCAGGTGTCAGTGTGGCCACAAGGTCGCTCGACCCACCTGACTGGATTTCAAGATGACCTTCAGCTTGTGTTGGTCCTTGGTGCTGGTTGTGTGGCAAAGGATGGGTAGGGTGGCACTGGTGACTCCCCAAAGTCCAGTGACTGGCTCCGGTTTCCCAAGAGTGTCTGAGATGGAAAGGGCGGGATTCCAACTCCCCAAGACACACCTGGTTAGATCTGGGCCCTGACACCTGTTTGATGGGCAAGTCAAGGTGAAGGGTTCTGGGTGTTCACTGGCACATAGGTTGGAGATGTCGCTGTAGAAAAGAATCCTGTTGTTCTCTTAAGGGACAAGGTGAAAATGCTTCGTACCCTCAGTTTTTCTCAGGGAAACACTCTTTTGAGTTTCCAATGGGCTGGATAACTCCTGGCTTTGGGGAAGCATTTCCTGGCCATGGCCCTTGTTAAATGCCTGTAGCCAGAGTAGCAGCTACTACAGAAAGTCCTGCCATGTTGCTTCTGAGAAATAATGAACCATACTATAAATGAGTCACATATTATAATGATTGCATTATTTTCCTTCAATTACTCATATTTTCTTCTGGAGTGATAGCACAGCGGTAGGGCGTTCGCCTTACAAGCGGCCAACATGGCCCACCCGAGTTCAATTCCTCCGCCCCTCTCGGAGAGCCCGGCAAGCTACCGAGAGTATTCGATATGCCAGACACAGTAACAACAAAGTCTCCAATGGAGACGTTACTGGGCCCGCTCGAGCAAATCGACGATCAACGGGAGGGCACTATATTTATATTCATTAAAAATTCAAGAATTGGTCCTTATAACGTTCTATTCAACCTGTGTGTGACTATAGCAGGCCAAAGTCTGCTGCTTTATTATAAACTAAAGATGTGGATTTTCCTTCAGAGTGCCTCAGATTCTGCTCATATTTGTTTAACTGAAAAAAAAAATGCTCCACAGAAACTTAAAGAGTTAAGTAGTATTTGCTAGTCATTCATTCAACTCCTCTACTTATCCGTTCATCTGATCTGCATTTGATGAAGTCTTGCGATGTGTAAATACCATGCCAGGTATCAGAAATACAGGAGTAAATAAGACCCATTGCTTACATCATAGGCTAGAGGATCTATTTGCTTTTCATGGTGGGTACAAGTTGGAGCCTCTTAATACTACGAATCTCACAGAAAGATTCTCTGGTCCCTTTCAGGGTGAAGGGGGGCTGTTTCTGAGTGAACCCTCGTAACACAGTCTTTTATTATCACATAGAAAACCAGGTTATGGTGCTCTTTTTTCACTCTTCCTCTAGATCTCATTTATTATGCAAAGTTAAAATGCCTGTAAGCAATATTCTGTTTTTGTTTTCTAGTAATTCGGGGCAATGCGTATAAATTTCATGGTAAATTTTGATAAAGATTTCCTGGGAACAATATAAGTGAGTATATAAGTGAATCACATAATTTGTTCTCTCATTTTCAGAAAGTATAATGAATTGATTTGGAGCCTTACAGTTGGACTTTGCAAAACCTTATTATCAACCATTTGTCCTCTAAGAAAAAAATTATACTTTAAAATTCATATACATATGGAATATTGCCTTTCTCATTGTAATGTTTTCGTTAACCTGTATGGTAACATATAGAAAGTTATAAACATTGCTAAAGTAATACATGTTTTGAGTAGATTTTTCTTTTTTCACTATAATGTGGTAGGGACTAGTGGTATTAAATCACTTTATTTGCAGTGTATTCTAATTTATGTCCTGGAGAAGACCTTGAGTCTAGACTGGTTGGAACTTTATATACTTTAGCTTTATATTTTTTAATCTTCGAATATATCTTTAATGGTGCTACTTTTTATTTATTTTTAATAGTAACTGGCAGGTTTCATCATTTCACATGCCTAGCATTGTGTCCCAGAATATTCTATTTTCTGAAGCATGAGTTTTAGGGCTGGTGTGATAGCACAGCGGATAGGGCATTTGCCTTGCACTCAGCTGACCTGGCCAATCCAGGTTCAATTCCTCCACCCCTCTCGTAGAGCCCAGCAAGCTACCGAGAGTATCCCGCCTGCATGGCAAAGCCTGGTAAGCTCCCCGTGACGTATTCGATATGCCAAACACAGTAACAAGTGTCACAATGGAGACTTTACTGGGCCTGCTCAAGCAAATCAATGACCAACAGGAGGACATTGACAGTGACAGAGAGTTTAAGGGAGTATAAAAACACAGAACCATCCATGCATGAATCAGAATTCAGTTAACAAATAGAAATTAGTTTTTCCAGACCGAACAATATAACCAACAATATGTTAAAACGGACAGTTTCAGGAGAAAAAAATCCCCAAGCTTGCTTATTTTTATTATTCATTTTTAATTTTTTTGTGGATATGTTTAATATCCTGGAACCATTTGAACGAGTGAGAAATAAATTGGTGTTCTCAGGTGGAGCAGGGGAGGGTTCTCAAGTGTGGTTCTGTGCAGGGGTGCTCTCAGGGATGCTCAGTCGCCCGCCCGTGCATCAGTGCTCAGGCTACGGGAGATGATTTTCCTGGGGCCCTGCAGTCTGGGAGCCTGTAGGGCCATACCCAGGGTTACTTGAAGAGGTCGTGCAGGAGATGGACTCCAAGTTGGAGAGTGCAGTGTGACAGTGCTCACCTTGCACGTGCTGACCCGGGCTCCATCCCCAGCACTGCACAGTTTCCCCGAGCCCAGCCTGGAGTGATCCCTGTTCGCAGAGCTGGGAAAGTATTGAGCATTGCTGGGTGTGGCTCACACACACACCATCCTCCCCAGAAAGAAGTCAGTACATACACGGCACTGCACTCTTCCCTTGGCTCCCTTGCTTTCATTCTCTTTTTTTATCTTGTTTGTTTATTATTTTTGTCTGTTTTGAGGCCACTCTCTGTAGTGCTCAGGGTTTACTCTTGGCTCTGAGCTTACATATTGCTCCTGGCAGGCTCAGGAGACCACATGCATTGCCATCTCTCCAGTTCTGTGCTTCCATTCTTTTTATTTATCTATTCATTTTGCTTTTTGGGTCA